CGACAACAACCTTCTTGACCCTTTACAGTCTGGCTTTCTCTCACTACACTCCACTGAAACTGCCCTACTAAAACTCACTAATGATCTACTAACTGCTAAAACCAATGGCCACTACTCCGTACTCTTACTACTTGACCTCTCTGCGGCTTTTCATATGGTTGACCATCCCCTGCTCCTCAAAAACTCCACTTTCTTGGCCTCCGAGACTCTGCTCTCTCCTGGTTCTCCTCCTACCTATTGCAGCGCTCCTTCAGCGTTACCTATAACACTGCCTCCTCCTCTTCACTCCCTCTATCTGTTGGGGTCCCTCAAGGTTCTGTCCTTGGACCCCCTCTCTTCTCCATCTACACCTCCTCCCTTGGTCACTTGATAAACTCCCATGGCTTCAATTACCATCTCTATGCTGATGACACACAAATCTATCTTTCTACCCCTCAACTCACCCCTTCAGTCTCCTCTCGCATCACTAACCTACTAAGCGACATATCGGCATGGATGTCTTCCACTTTCTCAAACTATATCTTTACAAAATGGAGCTCTTAGTATTCCCCCCAGCCCGTGCCCCCTCCCCCAACTTCTCCATCAAGATCAATAACACAATCATCAGTCCCTCCCCTCATGCCAAGGTACTAGGTGTAATTCTCCCATCTGTCCTTTCAGCCCCAAATCCAATCACTGTCCAAATCTTGTAGACTTCTCCTCCGCAACATCTCCAAGATACGCCCGATCCTAACCTCGGAAACCACTAAGCAACTTATTCTCTCCCTTGTTATCTCTCGCCTTGACTATTGTAACTCCCTCCTCATTGGCCGACCTCATCGCAGGCTATCCCCTCTTCAGTCCATCATGAATGCTGCTGCCAGAATCATCCACCTTACTAACCATTCTGTATCTGCCACCCCCCTCTGCCAATCCCTCCACTGGCTTCCCATTGCCCAACTGTTAAAATTCATAACACTAACAATAACGTATAAAGCCATTTATAACTCTGCCCCAAATTACATCACCGATCTTGTCTCTAAATATCACCCAAACCGTACTCTCCGCTCCTCGCAAGACCTCCTACTCTCTAGCTCCCTTGTCTCTTCCTCCCATGCTCATCTCCAGACTTCTCCAGAGCTTCCCCCTTCCTCTGGAACTCTCTACCGCAATTTATCAGACTATCGGCTACTCTGCTCACCTTTAAGCGATCTCTGAAAACCTATCTCTTCAGGGAAGCCTATCCTGCCCTCAGCTAATAATGGAATCTTCTACTCTTCCAACCAGTCCATCCCCCACAGTTACTACCTTTTGTACCACTAGCCCCTCCCTCCTAGATTGTAAGCTCCAAGGAGCAGGGCCCTCAAATGCCTCTTGCATTGAACTTTATTGTTGCTGTATTGTCTCCCGTTATATTGTAAAGCGCTGAGCAAACTGTATAAATCCTGTGCTATATAAATCCTGTATAATAATATTATTAATAATAATAAAGGTAGATCATAAATACCATTATTGATAGAACATGGGTATCTAAAGGAGGGAGATGGATCTATAAATACTGAAATTCAATCTATGTTCTGATGATATAGACCTCCTATATAACTCCAAGCCATCAATCTCTGTTGCTACAGATACACTACGGGGCCTGCCTTTACACGCACAAGAACTTTAATGGCATCCCAGACTTAGTCCGTAGGGTTCAATATTGAGTTGGCCACTGCCATTTGCAGCTATGACAGCTTCAACTTCTCTGGAAGGCCATCCACAAGGTTTAGGAGGGTGTCTATGGGAAGGTTTGACCATTCTTGCAGAAGCACATTTGAGAGGTCAGGCACTGATGTCGGGGGAGGAGGCCTGGCTCGCAGTCTCCACTCTAATTCATCCCAAGGTGTGTTCTATGGGGTTGAGGTCAGGACTCTGTGCAGGCCAGTCAAGTTCCTCCACCGCAAACTGGCTCATCCATGTCTTTATGGACCTTGCTTTGTGCACTGGTGTGCAGTCATGTTGGAACAGGAAGAGGCCATCCTCAAACTCTTCCACAAAAGTTGGGAGCATGAAATTTGTCCAAAATGTCTTGGTATGCTGACACCTTAAGAGTTGCCTTCACTGGAACTAGGGGCCAAGCTCAACCCCTGAAAAACAACCCCACATCCTAATCCCCCTTCCACCAAACTTTACACTTGGCACAAGGCAGTCAAGCAAGTACTGTGCTCCTGGTAACCGCCAAACCCAGACACATTGGATTTCAGACAGAGAAATGTGATTTGTAACCCCAAATAACACGTGTCCACTGTTCTAGAGTCCAGTGCTTTACAGCACGGCATCGACGCTTTGCATTGCACTTGGTGATGTAAGACTTGGATGCAGCTGCTCGGCCATGGAAACCCATTCCATGAAGCTCTCTACACACTGTTGTTGGGCTCATCTGAAGACCACACCAAATTTGGATGTCTTTAGCTATTGACTCTGCAGACAGTTGGCGACTTCTGCGCACTGTGCGCTTCAGCATGCGATAACCCAGTTCTGTCATTTTACGTGGCCTACCACTTCGTGGCTGAGTTGCTGTTGTTCCCAGTTCCTTCCACTTTGTTATAATCCTACTAACAGTTGAGTGTGGAATATTTAGTAGCCAGGAAATGTCACGGATGGACTTATTGCACAGGTGACAACCTATCACGGGACCACGTTTGGAGTCACTGAGCTCCTGAGAGCGACCCATTCTTCACAAATGTTTATAGAAGCAGTTTGCATGTACTGAAATGTATTGTAATTGTACTGTCTCCTTTATAAAACCGCTATGAAAACTGTTGGCGCTATATAAATCCTGTATAATAATTTACAGTATACTGGGCATTGTATCATGTCTGTCACACAAATCAACCAATTGTTTCAAAACCAATGTGCTGTAATGGTTACCTCTATATGAGTGGCCAGGGAATATAGCTTAGTGTAGCATATCTTATAGCAGTCCCAGTTTCTATAAGCCAAGCAAGCCTAGCCTATGGGTAGGTGGCTTCCCCCAGAATTACATGTTCAGTAGCCAGGAAGTACTGGAGACTGAAGAAAGAAAGAATAAAGAGGTCCTGTTGTTCCGGTAATGAAGTTGTCTGCAGGGGATGACTGCCACTGTTGTCTCACGGAACTCTTAAGGTGTCAGCATACCAAGACATTTTGGACAATTTCACGCTCAACTTTGTGGGAAGAGTTTGGGGATGGCCCCTTCCTGTTCCAACATGACTGCACACCAGTGCACAAAGCATGGTCCATAAAGTAGAAAAAAAATGAATAGCGCACAGAAAAAAATCAATATAAATAAAGCGAAGAAAATATGAACTATTAAAGCTGCAAACCTAACCTGAAGAGGTGCACATAATATTTAAAACACAGGTTGTGCTAATATTGTCAAAAAAAATATATGAATCAAATTTTCATATTACTGTATGACACAATATTATATTGGTTTGGACTTTTCACATTTAATATTTTTTGGACACTAAATATATGATTTATTTGATTCATATATATTTTTTTGACAATATTAGCGCAACCTGTGTTTTAAATATTATAAGGTCCATAAAGACATGGATGAGTGAGTTTGGGGTGGAGGAACTTGAACTGACCTGCACAGTGTCCAGACCTCAACCCCATAGAACACCTTTGGGATGAATTAGAGTGGAGATTGCGAGCCAGGCCTCCTCCCCCGACATCAGTGCCTGACCTGACAAATGTGCTTCTGCAAGAATGGTCAGACATTCCAATAGACACCCTCCTAAACCTTGTGGACGGCCTTCTCAGAAGAGTTGAAGCTGTTATAGCTGCAAAGGGCGGGCCAACTCAATACTGAACCCTACGGACTAAGACTGGGATGCCTCTAAAGTTCATTTGCGTGCAGGGGCGGACTGACAATTTGGAAACTCGGGCACTGCCCGAGGGCCCAGGGTCAGTAGGGGGCCCCATGAGATGCCCCTGGTACCTTTTTCATAGGCTTTTTTGAGTTTGGGCAAGGACACAGGGGCCCCATGATCCCCTATTGCCCGAGGGCCCCATGACTTGTCAGTCCGCCCCTGTTTGCGTGTAAAGGCAGGCGTCCCCAAAACATTTGGCAATATAGTGTATGTGGTATTGCCATATTCAGGAGGATTAGTAGAATGTGTTTTGAGGTGTTTTCTAAGTATGCCTATACTGTGTGAGAAATACAATATATTATATCTAGAGATGAGCGAATTATTCAAAAATTCGATTCGGCTGATTCGCCGAATTCTCGGAATAAATTTGATTCGAGTCGAATAAATTCACTGCGAATTTAACTTATATAAAAAGGGTGTTTCTAGGCTTCAGAGAGCCTTTATATTAGTGCAGACACTGTACCTTTAATTTAAATGCCCTTGGAGTCTGCTGGGGAAGAGAAATAATACTGTCAGTCAGTATGACATGCAGATGAGTGCCGTCGATCTTAGAATCACCGCACACGTCACTCATTTGGGCAGTCACGGGGCCAAAACCAGAGTGTGGAGCCACAGTGTGGCGTTGGAGGCAGCAGCAATGGGAGGCCATACAGCACCTTATGACAAAATGGAACCCACCAGCAGTGTGAGGAGACCTGAAAGTGGCACATGGCAGAGTGTGGCGATGGAGACAGCAGCAATGGGAGGCCGTACAGGGACCCATGACACACTCTGGACCTGGCAGTAGCATGAGGAGGCGGTACAGGGGCCCATGACAGATTACGGGCCTGGCAGCAGCATGAGGAGTCGGTACGGGGGCCCATGGCAGATTACGGGCCTGGCAGCAGCAATGGGAGGCCATACAGCACCCTATGACAAAATGGAACCCACCAGCAGTGTGAGGAGACCTGAAAGTGGCACATGGCAGAGAGTGTGGCGATGGAGACAGCAGCAATGGGAGGCCGTACAGGGACCCATGACACACTCTGGACCTGGCAGCAGCATGAGGAGGCGGTACAGGGGCCCATGACAGATTACGGGCCTGGCAGCAGCATGAGGAGTCGGTACGGGGCCCATGGCAGATTACGGGCCTGGCAGCAGCAATGGGAGGCCATACAGCACCCTATGACAAAATGGAACCCACCAGCAGTGTGAGGAGACCTGAAAGTGGCACATGGCAGAGTGTGGGCGATGGAGACAGCAGCAATGGGAGGCGTACAGGGGGCCCATGAGACACTCTGGACCTGGCAGCAGCATGAGGAGGCGGTACAGGGGCCCATGACAGATTACGGGCCTGGCAGCAGCATGAGGAGTCGGTACGGGGGCCCATGGCAGATTACGGGCCTGGCAGCAGCAATGGGAGGCCATACAGCAGCACCCTATGACAAAATGGAACCCACCAGCAGTGTGAGGAGACCTGAAAGTGGCACATGGCAGAGTGTGGCGATGGAGACAGCAGCAATGGGAGAGGCCGTACAGGGACCCATGAGACACTCTGGACCTGGCAGCAGCATGAGGAGGCGGTACAGGGGCCCATGACAGATTACGGGCCTGGCAGCAGCATGAGGAGTCGGTACGGGGGCCCATGGCAGATTACGGGCCTGGCAGCAGCAATGGGAGGCCATACAGCACCCTATGACAAAATGGAACCCACCAGCAGTGTGAGGAGACCTGAAAGTGGCACATGGCAGAGTGTGGCGATGGAGACAGCAGCAATGGGAGGCTGTACAGGGACCCATGAGACACTCTGGACCTGGCAGCAGCATGAGGAGGCGGTACAGGGGCCCATGACAGATTACGGGCCTGGCAGCAGCATGAGGAGTCGGTACGGGGGCCCATGGCAGATTACGGGCCTGGCAGCAGCAGCAATGGGAGGCCATACAGCACCCTATGACAAAATGGAACCCACCAGCAGTGTGAGGAGACCTGAAAGTGGCACATGGCAGAGTGTGGCGATGGAGACAGCAGCAATGGGAGGCCGTACAGGGACCCATGAGACACTCTGGACCTGGCAGCAGCATGAGGAGGCAGGGGTACAGGGGCCCATGACAGATTACGGGCCTGGCAGCAGCATGAGGAGTCGGTACGGGGGCCCATGGCAGATTACGGGCCTGGCAGCAGCAATGGGAGGCCCGTACAGCACCCTATGACAAAATGGAACCCACCAGCAGTGTGAGGAGACCTGAAAGTGGCACATGGCAGAGTGTGTGGCGATGGAGACAGCAGCAATGGGAGGCTGTACAGGGACCCATGAGACACTCTGGACCTGGCAGCAGCATGAGGAGGCGGGGCGGTACAGGGGCCCATGACAGATTACGGGCCTGGCAGCAGCATGAGGAGTCGGTACGGGGGCCCATGGCAGATTACGGGCCTGGCAGCAGCAATGGGAGGCCCGTACTGCCAGCACCCTATGACAAAATGGAACCCACCAGCAGTGTGAGGAGACCTGAAAGTGGCACATGGCAGAGTGTGGCGATGGAGACAGCAGCAATGGGAGGCCGTACAGGGACCCATGAGACACTCTGGACCTGGCAGCAGCATGAGAGGAGGGGTACAGGGGCCCATGACAGATTACGGGCCTGGCAGCAGCATGAGGAGTCGGTACGGGGGCCCATGGCAGATTACGGGCCTGGCAGCAGCAATGGGAGGCCTACAGCACCCTATGACAAAATGGAACCCACCAGCAGTGTGAGGAGACCTGAAAGTGGCACATGGCAGAGTGTGGCGATGGAGACAGCAGCAATGGGAGGCCGTACAGGGACCCATGAGACACTCTGGACCTGGCCAGCATGAGGAGGCGGTACAGGGGCCCATGGATTACCTGGCAGCAGCATGGGAGGCCGTTACAGGGGGGACAGACACATCTGGGGGCAGCCCATGCATGACAGATTACGGGCTGGCAGCAGCATGAGGAGTCGGTACGGGGGCCCATGGCAGATTACGGGCCTGGCAGCAGCAATGGGAGGCCATACAGCACCCTATGACAAAATGGAACCCACCAGCAGTGTGAGGAGACCTGAAAGTGGCACATGGCAGAGTGTGGCGATGGAGACAGCAGCAATGGGAGGCCGTACAGGGACCCATGACACACTCTGGACCTGGCAGCAGCATGAGGAGGCGGTACAGGGGCCCATGACAGATTACGGGCCTGGCAGCAGCATGAGGAGTCGGTACGGGGGCCCATGGCAGATTACGGGCCTGGCAGCAGCATGAGGAGGCGGTACAGGGGCCCATGGCAGAGTGGCGGGAGCGTAAGCAGCTAAAATTGAAGGCCATACAGAGGCCTATGTTAAAAATTCCCCCCAGCAGCAGCGTGGGGAGGACGACTAATAGTCGTCTCCCCACGCTGCTGCTGGGGGGACCTTTTAACATAGGCCTCTGTATGGCCTTACGGGCCTTTAAGCTGCTTACACTTCGCCACTCTGCCATGGGCCCCTGTACAGAAAAATCTCCTCTTGCTGCTGCCAGGTCCAGAGTGTGTCATGGGTCCCTGTACGGCCTCCAATGCTGCTGACTTCATCGCCAGACTCTGCCATGTGCCACTTTCAGGTCTCCTTACACTGTTGGTGGGTTCCATTTTGTGATAGGCCTGTGCTGTATGGCCTTCCATTGCTGCTGCCTCCACCGCCACCCTGCGCCATGTGCCTCTGTCGTCTGCTCACGCTGCTGACGGCTTCCGCTTTTTAACGAGGCCTGTGTTTGGCTTCCGAATGGGCTGCCTCCACCGCCACCCTGCGCCATGTGTCTCTGTCGTCTGCTCACGCTGCTGACGGCTTCCGCTTTTTAACTGAGGCCTGTGTATGGCTTCAGAATAATGCTGCCTACACCGCCACCCTGCGCCATGTGCCTCTGTCGTCTGCTCACACTGCTGCCAGGTCCATACTGATTCATGGCCCCTGTACCGGCTCCTCATGAACGTGGTTCAGCGGGTTTGCATCACTTAACGGCAGAATCGTTGACAAACGCTGGGACGTTCAGTGTTGTGCGCAGCAAGCCAGACACCAAAGGGCAGCACAGACCTGTTATTACTCGCATCAAGCATGGCTGAAACAAAACAGTCTCTACCACAAATTGGACCCAGACCTGCCAGGGTCTCACCTAAGTAGATTGCACGGAGCATGAGGAGTAGTACGTCGACTATCATGGCAGATTATGGCAGAGTGGCGGAGCAGCATGAAGCCCGCTTCAATTGCCAGCACCCATGACAAAATGGAACCTAGGAGGAGACCTTGAAAGTGGCACATGGCAGAGTTGGCCAATGGAGACAGCAGCAATGGGAGGCTCCGTACAATCCATACTTACGAGACCTGGGCAGGTCTGGGTCCAATTTGTGGTAGAGGGGGCCCATGTTCAGCCATGCTTGAGTGAGCGAGTAATAACAGGTCTGTGCTGCCCTTTGGTGAGTCTGGCTTAATGCGCACAACACTGAACGTCCCAGCGTTTGTCAACGATTTGCCGTTAAGTGATGCAAACCCGCTGAACCACGTTCATGAGGAGCCGGTACAGGGGGCATGAATCACTATGGACCTGGCAGCAGCGTGAGCAGACGGTACAGAGGCACATGGCGCAGGGTGGGCGTGTGCAGCATTATTCTGAAGCCATACACAGGCCCCTATGGTTAAAAAAGCGGAAGCCGTCAGCAGCAGTGTGAGGAGACCTGACAGTGGCACATGGCGCAGGGTGTGCGGTGGATGCAGCAGCATTCGGAAGCCAAACACAGGCCTCGGTTAAAAAGCGGAAGCCCATGTCAGCAGCGTGGAACAGACGACAGAGGCACACGGCGCAGGGTGGCGGTGGAGATTACGGGCAGCAGCAATGGAAGGCCATAATCAGCACCCTATCACAAAATGGAACCCACCAGCAGTGTAAGGAGACCTGAAAGTGGCACATGGCAGAGTGTGGCGATGAAGTCAGCAGCAATGGGAGGCGTACAGGGACCCATGGACACACTCTGGACCTGGCAGCAGCAAGAGGAGGCGGTACAGGGGCCCATGGCAGAGTGGCGAAGCGTAAGCAGCTTAAATTGAAGGCCATACAGAGGCCTATGTTAAAAATAATAACATGTTTGGGGCATGATTCATGGCGGATTTAGTCAGTTGTGTCAGGAACTGGTGGTTTGAAATCCAGACTAATCCACGCCTGATTCATTTTCACAAACGTGAGTCTCTCCACACTTTGGGTGGACAGTCGTGTCCTCCGCGGAGTTACAATACCTCCTGCCGCACTAAACACGCGCTCCGATGCCACGCTACTGGCCGGGCATGACAGCCTTTCAAGGGCAAATTCAGCTAGTTGGGGCCAAAGGTCAAGTTTCGTTGCCCAGTAGTCAAGGGGATTGTCTACCTCGGTTGGCAGGGTGCTGTCCAAGTAGGCCCAAGCCTGTTGTTTGAGGTCCTGCTCCAGGTCCACCTGATGCTGCTGCTGCTGCGGCTGGTTAGTAGTTTTCCTCACTGCGCTGGTGAAGAAAGCTACTCATCATCGACTGCAGACTGAGGCAGCCGCTGCTGGTGGAGCTGCCACTGCTCCTACCACCCCACCCCTCCCCTGCTGCCATGGCAGCGGAACGCGAGCGCACAGGGCCCACAGTGTCTGAGGATGGACGTTGGCGCAGAAAGGCAGAGACCAACTGACTACATAGGTGGTTTTTATAGTACGTTATTTTGGCCTCCCTCTCAGCAGGTGTGAAAAAGGCCACCATTTTTGAACGGTAGCGAGGGTCCAACAAGGTGGACAGCCAAAAGTCATCCCTCTGTCTGATGGTTATTATTCGGCTGTCGCTACGCAAGCAACCGAGCATGCTATGGGCCATTTGTGCCAAGGAATGCGAGGGACTCCCTGCCTCCATCTCCACAGCATACTGCCACGGTGCGTCTGGGTCCTCTGTCTCCTCCTCCTCCTCCTCTACCAGATGCTCCTGCTCCTCCACTCCTGTCCGCTGAGTGGAAAAACCACCCATTTCACTCAATAATTCCTGAGCACCAATGTCCTCCTCTACCTCCTCCTCTTCTTCCTGTCCTGCCCCCACAGGGGTCATGTGGCGTTGAGATCTGTGCGCGCCACGTCTACCGCACCCTGACCAGCCATTGTTAACAGCATTTGTTCCAGGACGTGCAACAGAGGAATGACGTCGTTCATCCCATAGTCCTGCCGACTCACGAATAGCGTGGCCTCCTCAAAGGGCCTGAGCAAGCGGCAGGTGTCACGCATGAGCTGCCAATGGCTGACATCTAAGTTACACAGGGGAGTACCTTTATCCGCTTGTAACATCAGGAAATCGGTGATGGCCTTTCGCTGTTCGTAAAGGCGGTCTAACATATGTAGGGTTGAATTCCACCTTGTTGCAACGTCGCAGATCAGGCGATGCTGTGGAATTCCGTTCTGCCGCTGCAGCTCAAGGAGGGTGTGCTTTGCGGTGTAGGAATGGCTGAAATGCATGCAAAGTTTACGTGACATTTTAAGGATGTCTTGCAGTGGGATGGTGGATTTTAGGAACCGCTTGACAACCAGATTGAACACGTGAGCCATGCATGGCGCATGGCACAACCTTCCTTGACGCAGAGCAGACACCATGTTCTTTCCGTTGTCGGTCAACATGGTTCCGATTTTCAGTTTGCGCGGAGACAGCCATCTGTCGATTTCTCTGTTCATTACACTCAGAAGTTCCTCCCCTGTGTGACTACGTTCGCCAAGGCATACCAGGTGCAGCACAGCGTGACACCGTTGCGCCCTGCACATGTGATATGCCGGTCGGGTAATGGGACTTGGCACGGGGGTGGCGGCTGAGGACACGGCGGAAGAAGAGGTGGTAGAGGCGGACATCTTTGCTGGACCAAGGACGTGCAAACGTGGAGGCAAAAGCGGCGTGACCTGTCCAAGTTGCTGGTGCGGCTGTGCCGGCACCACGTTCACCCAGTGGGCCGTAAATGACATGTACTGTCCCTGACCGTAGTTACAGCTCCACACGTCGGCGCTGCCGTGCACTTTGGCAGAGACCGACATGCTCAAAGACTGGCCCACCATCTCTTCTACATGTGAATGCAGGGCTGGCACTGCCTTTTTGGCGAAGAAATGCCGGCTTGGCACTCTCCACCGCGGCGGCACAAGCCATCATTTCTCGGAAAGGTGCTGAGTCCCACCACTTGGAAAGGGAGGGACTGCAGCACCAGCAACTTGGACAGGAGGACGTTCAGCTTTTGCACCGTCGGGTGCGTGCTCGCAAACTGTTGTCTCTTGGAAACGGATTCCAAGAAAGACTGCTGACGGAATCCGTGAAGAGGAGTAGCAGGAGAAGGAGCATCTGAACGAGCGGAAGATGCCAACGAGCGACAACTCCCCTCAGCAGAGGTGTTGGAGCCTTGACTGGCTGATAGAGGGCGATTGACGTCGGGTGACGGAGCAAGTAACGGAGCGGGTGATGGAGCGGGGGCTGGGGCAGGCAGAACCGCCGTATCTTTATCACGGTTTTCCCAGGCCACCGAATGGCGACGCTGCATATGCTGACGCAACGCTGTAGTCCCCAACATGGGCCCCCTGGCCACGCTTGACTTTCTGGCCACATAGTCGACATACGGCTACGTTTACTTCCTCGGGCGGCTTGACGAAAAATTGCCACACCGCCGAGTAGGAAACTTTGCCCCCGCTACTCCTCACTGGCTGACTGCTACTTCCTCCGTGCACACCGGCACCACTACTGGCCGTGGTGGTAGGCTGCAGTGGAGCTGGTGCTCTACTCCGTGGCGTTTGCCTCCACTGACACTGCTGCGACCCTGCTGCCTCCTGGGCAACCCACCGACTGTTTTGCTCGCTGCCAAGCTGGCACCCTCTTCTCCTGATGATGATGCGGAAGCAATAGCCTGATGACGACGAGGCTGCCAAGTGCGATCAGCCTCATCATCATCAATTAGGGTCTCCGCCTCACTACTAGCCCCCTCGGCTGCGTGTGGGTCAGGAGACAGACCTGTCTCTAGACCGGCTACCGAGCCACTCTCCTCGCCAGTACTTCTTCGCCTGGCTGCTGAAGAGGCGGATGTCTCCCCCCGTTCCTGACCGCCCTCTGTTAGCTCTTCCTCACTGTACAGTGGGGCTGAGCCCACAGCATGCGATACTTCGCTTGGTGAGGGAACACCAAAGGACAGGGGCAGGTAGAGGACACGTGATTTCAGTGGGCTTGCTCCCGGGCCATGCCAACAACTAACGGTTGTGTCTGACGTACCCACCGACCGTTGGCTGTAGGTGTCAGAGGTGACCTGGGAAGAGGAAGACGACCGAGCCAACCAATCGATGACGGCAGGGTTGTCGGTGGAGACACGACCGCTGGATGACACGGGAGCACTGGCCTCTGGCTGCGACTAGTGCTGCCTCGACCCCTTCCTCTGCTGCCACGTCTGCTCGCTCCTGAAAACATTGCCTCCTCTGCCACTCCTCTGCGTGTTGTCTGACATACTCTTTAATTCAACGATTCTGTGTCCCTGAGTAACAATTCTGTGTCCCTGAGTAACGAATTCTGTGTCCCTGAGTAACAATTCTGTGTCCCTCAGTAACAATTCTGTGTCCTCAGTAACGAATTCTGTGTCCCTGAGTAACAATTCTGTGTCCCTGAGTAACAATTCTGTGTCCCTGAGTAACAATTCTGTGTCCCTGAGTAACAATTCTGTGTCCCTGAGTAACGATTCTGTGTCCCTGAGTAAC